GATTCAAATGCATGAGATGTGAATGTTTTTCATAATGATGTCATTTAAAAAAAGAGATGTCTTTTATTTTTGTATTACTCGCTCAGAAATAATGTCCTTTTTCTAAGAGAGGTTTTGTGAGCCCATCCAGAATAGCCATTTAATGGTCAAAACTGATCCACATTTTTTATGACGCCATTCGATTCTACCCATCAGGCTGGGGTATGGATAAAAGTTTTAGGCATTTGAACTTAATTTAGCTGAGTTATGAACATTCAAAATGAAGGGTCTCGGAAAAACACGTGTCAGTAGCATTTTGCATATAACCTCGATAACAGAGAATAACAATGACTTGTCGTAAAATGTGAGGTGCGATAAATCGTGTTTTCTATGGAGCTCCTTCTTCACGTCGACGTTTATTTAAAACTTCGTTTTTTATTAAAAATAAATGTTTTCTTTAGTAATCGAAATGATTAAATCGTTACTATAACAAGTTTAACTGTAGAATTTTATATTATTTTTTGAAAAATATGCATGACTTTTATAAAACGAACTTTTCAAAGGTTTCACTCCTCTGCGATGAAATGTTGCAGAGCACTCGATCAGGCTTACCATGGTGTAGCATTCGAGACAAAATCCGCAAGCTTACACTTGCCAAACTACACTATGACATCTAAGCTCAAATAATAGTAGCCAATAGGCAAAACATTTCTCTTCAAAACTATGCAAGGCCCAGGTCTTTATCTCTTTTGGTTCCAGAGATACAGGCGTTTTCCGAGGACATACGTATGTCGTTGCAGATACGTCTGGGAATCTCAGAAATGTGTGGATCATAGGTAACCTACCACGCTGACCATCGTGGCAATGTTTGTTTCATTCCCCACTCAACCACAACTCTAGAAAACCCAGTTTGGTGAAAAGGCCGTTTTTCACCTGTTATCGTCAAAAATTAAAAACCGTACACTTAATTTTTGTTCATCAGTACCTTGCACTTTCGCTATGTACATTTTACGACATATCATACTATTCTCCTATATTCTTTGGGGGTTTGCTCATATCTCAGTTAAATTTTCAATCCCGATTACTTTGCAACCCAAAACACAATTTTTTCACTTTGAGTCCTTCATATTTTGTGAAACAAAAACAAGAAGATGGGCATATGGTAGCCCTTAAAAAGCTCTATCAAGTGGCTATATTTAAATTCTTCGTAATCACAATCGGTTGTGAGAAAAAAAATTTTCTTTTACTGTTTTTCCTCGAAATCAACATATTCCTACTGCAGTTTTGGTGCAGTTATGAAAACGTTCATAACTCGGCCAAAATCAAATGTTTTGTGGTCGGGTTTGTTTTATCTTAAAGTAAAATACTTTCTCTGTTACATCCGTACAGAGAACGCTCAATATTTTAGCTTCTTTTCCAGTGTCACGGCGAAAAGGACAAAATTTTCCTTTTGTGGTTAAAGTCCAGTAAAATCGTCTTTTGTGCCAGAAAAGCACGTTTAAACTGAACCTCTGGTACACGAAAAGAAAGACGACACTTCGGAACACTAGAACATACGTTCTGATTCCATATTCTGATCGGTTAGATCAGCAGCTTCAGCCTAGATTACTCTGCAACCGAAAAAAACAAGGAAAATAAATTTATTTTGAACTCAGTGTCATTCGTCAAAATGGAATCAGAACGTATGTGCGACTATTGCCCCATGGGGCAATAGTCGAACTCAGAAATAGTTACCAGGTACATTTGCTGGAATAACGGTTGCACAAATCACCTGGCCAACATCAATTATTGTTGATACAAACGGTATTATGTACATATCTCATTACACGGTTGATGTATGGGATGAAGTAGTTAAATGGCTATCAAATGCAAATGTCGGACAAGTGCAGCAGTTTATTCACTAATATCCGAAGAGGAAGAACCACCCTTTCAAACAAATCGTTCAGTAAAAGTCATAACATCATCTGCAAAAGTTCAGTCATTAAAACTTACCCCAAACTGAAACAAAAACAACCGTTAGCAGCAGCTCAAAGGAAAATTAAAACTGCTAGAGCCACGTTACGACAATGAAAACGTAAGTTTTTATATGAAATCATCATTAGAGCCATCGACAGCAGATTCTCAATGAACAAAATCGAAGATCTTGTAAATAAAAAATTAGTTCAATTTTCTGGCGAATACACTCCGTTATCACCATCATCTGGTCTTAAAATGGTTATTATCGGCGTTCAGAATAAAAATGATCAACATATTATTTTGACACAAAATTTGTTTTCAACTGAACATTTCAATCGACTCTATCCTCCTTACCATCGGTCATCATCATCTTATTATCATCGTCCACTCGAACATAGAAGAAATAATCATCAGCATTCATTTCAAAATCGGCGTTCTTCAAACCATGCATCAAATTATCATTCACAACCTCATCATCATTCATTCTATCACGATAATCATACAACAACAAATCGAAGAAATTCACATCGTCTTCAGTATAAGTACCAACGAAATCATTATCGTTAAACAAGTTATTAATGGCAACAAGAACAACATTTATACGCTTAGTTTTTCATTGTTTCAGTTGTCAAGTTAAGTTCAGATTATTATTACTCTCATTTACATTTTTCTGTTAGAGTAGCCCTTCAGAAGAAACCAATGAATTTTTTAAGTATCGTTCTTTTACCTTTATTTCTTTCTTGTAAGAGAAATTCATCTTACCTTTCCAATCATCAACCTTGTTATCATTTTTGTTTGTTAAGCAAAGCCTTATTTTGTTGTGGGAGTTCTTTTTCTTTTGCTTCACCGACACTCTGTTTCTTGTTGATTGATCTTCAATTTGCTCAAAATGTAGATGAAACACATTTTTTTCGTGAGAGGGAGTGTGTTAGAGCCCGTTGCTCTAACACGTTGCTATTCTTTTTCTTCGATTCATTCTTCAAAATATAGTATAGTTAGATTTCTTGTTTCTTTTCGTTCGTCCTTAGTACACGGTACTATGGACCTGTTTTGTATTGATCTTGTTTGTTCTTCTTAGCTTACTCATTTTTAGTTATTCACTTTGTTTCCATACACTTTTCATCATCATCATCTTTTGTTTTTTAAAGAGGTCTAAGATTTCTTTCGATACACTTAGTTAGTCTTTTTCATCGTATCGCATGCGTTTGTTAGCACTATCGCCATTTTTATTGTATCGTCTGTTCATTGCATCTTCTTCTTATTTTTAAATACATTCATATTTGGAAAAAATTGACCGATCTCTGTCTACAGGAATCGCCACCACTCTTACACGATCCAACAAAGACGTGAACTGCAAGAAGAATTTCAAAAAATGTTGAAGAATCAACAAATCCACCAACGACAAAATGCTTGCGAATCGTATTTTTGGTATAACTTTTCCTAGAAACCAGATAAAGAGCTGCTGTTTCCAACGTTGGAAAGAGAAGCTGAAGACGCATCGAATCGTATATTACAGATTTTTCTAATATGTTTTCTGAGGCTTTTTAAATTAATTTTCTACAAAAGAGTAGCGGAAAATGGTTTTTATCACAAAGGAAAAAGCAAAAAGTGATTTTTCTTCGATTGCACACTTGGGGACCTTAACTCATTAGAGTTTCGAGTAAAATACCTATAACGCCTGAACCATTGAAGCTAAAAGACTGAGCCTTGCGCAGCATTATAGATCTTCAATTGGCGGTTTCAATGTACACCAGATGATTGAGAATTCACTGTAGTCACCTATCGAGTACGTTGCTTCCAAAAAGCTCAATTGAAAATCTCAGAAAAACCAGGTCAAAAAGCCCGTAACATACGACTCGATGCGTCTTAATCTCCTCTTTCCAACAGTGAAAACCGCAGTTCTCTCTCTTGTTTCTATCAAAAGTTACACCAAAAATACGATTCGCAAGCATTTTGTCGTTGGTGGAATACATCCCTCAACATCCCCATGGTCATCACCAGTAATCATTCATAAGAAAAAAGATGGTGGACTGCGATTTCTCTCGATTATCGGAAATTGAATGCCGTTACCAAAAAAGATTCCTTTCCTCAACCAACCACAGAGGAATTATTACAACGATTGGGCAACAATCAATATTGCACAAAAATAGATTTAAAATCCGGATATTTCCAAATTCGAATGAATGAAGAAGACAAGGAGAATATGACATTTATCACACAAGATGGTCTGTGGGAATTTAATGTGCTACTACAAGGTGTTATGAACGGTCCACCAACATTTCAACGGGTTATGCATAATTTGATTGGGGAATGGAAGATGGGAATATGTTCTAGTTTATCTCGACGATATCTTGATCTACTAGAAAACATTTGGCGAACATAAAAAACATGTTAATGGAATATTATCGACACTAGCCAAAGCTAATTTCCAAGTAAATGCGGACAAATGCTCAATTGCTGTCTACGAAATCGATTTCTTAAGTCATACCATTAATGACCGTTGCATACGACCATCTGGAGAAAAATTAAAGCAATTGTCGATTTACCATCGCTCAGGACACTGAAAGAAGCCAATGAATTCATTGGCAAGATAAACTGGTACAGAAAGTTCATCCCGCATTTTCCAAGTATAGCAGCGCTCATCCATCGAGTAACAAACATTTTAGTGCTAATATCTCGCGTATTTCGCTAATGTCTCGCGTCTTTTACTAAAATCTCGTGTAATTCTAATATATAGAAAAGTTTGCTAATATCCGGTGTATTCACTAATATCTCAAAATCTAGCGTATATCACTGATATCTCGAGTATTTCTTAAAATGTCACGTTTTACTACTAACGTGTATTCACTAAAATCTGACCTTTTAGTATTAATGTCTCTCGTATTTCACTAAAATTTCGTGTATTATACTAAAATCTCGTGGAATTCAAAAAATATAGAAAAATTTGCTAATATCTGGTGTATTCAGTAATACCTCACCATTTAGAACTAATATGTCGCGTATCTGGCTAATATCTCGTGTATTCACTAAAATCTCACCTTTTATTGGTAACATCTCGCGTATTTCACTAAATTGTCACCTTTTCGTACTAATCTCTTGTGCGTTTTAGTAATGTTTGTATCTCGTGTATTTTACTAAAATCTCGTGGAATTCAAAAATATAGAAAAATTTGCTAATATTTGGTGTATTCAGTAATATCTCACCTTTTAGTACTAATATCTCGCGTATTTCACTAACGTCTCGCGTATTTTACTAAAATACACGAGACATTAGTGAGGGTGAGGGTCAGGGGTGAGGGTGAGAATTCATTGGCAAGATAAACTGGTACAGAAAGTTCATCCCGCATTTTCCAAGTATAGCAGCAACCATCCATCGAGTAACAAAGAAAACAAAGAAACATCGGCGTGAATTCTTTGGGATGATGAACAACAACACACGTTCGACGAATTCACGAAAATATTAACATCGGCGCCGTTATTTCTCGAATACTCTGATTTATCCTCACATTTTTTCTTGACAACAGATGCGTCAGAAATTGGTATTGGTGGCGTTTTGAGACAAGATACACCTTCATGAAAATTAATTATTTTAAATCAAGAATGTTGACTGACACGGAAAAACGATACGACATGTTTGAAAAAGAAGCAGTGGCTATTTATTGGTGCGTCAGTGAACTACGGCAACATTTGGGGGATCCATATTTTACTGTTGAGACCGATCACAAACCGTTAGAAAATTTTCATTTGAAACAGATTAATACTAGGCGTGTGCTGAACTGGCTATTTAAATTACAAGATATTATACCACAGATCATCGAAGTGAAATGTCGAAAAGGTGCCAATAATTCTGCTGCTGATTATCTCTCCCGGCTGCCTATCACCTCGTCACGTTCTGAGAACCTCGTCTTTTGTTTGATACGAAAGCCACGTAAAAGCTATTTACATGGCTTTCGTAACGATTTTCTGCAAAATACGCGGCTTTCGCATAAAATTGTACAGCCCTTTCGCACTGAAGGGTACAAGAGAATGCAGGGCTTTTGTAAGGTAACTCTTATTGTACTTGTTTGGGTGCATGACTTTCGTAACGAAGAAGTCGACTTAGCCCATGAGAAATTCGAATTTTCTTCGTTTTTTAGGAACGAATATAAAAAAAAGACACTCTAGATTCTTAGTCTATGTTTAGTATTATTTGTTTCTTAATTATAAAAGAAGGAAAGCGTAAGCAAAAACTACTGCATGCTAGTTATATTCACTGATAACAGACCACAAGCAGCTGTTTAATACTCAAAAATGATTCATCTGTTTGTAATAAAAATGTAAACTGTCTTGGAATAACCAGCATACATAACCTTATTGGGGCGAAAACTGCAGAGAAATCAAGCGAATAACTATTTTAATCCTCATATTTCCACCACAGGTCCGCACGAACTCCGGACGATAAGTAAACGTTAAAACGTGCTTTGGGCTGGACTCTAAGATAAATAACCACTGGATGTGAACGGTTGATTTTATTGACGACTTACAATTTTTTAACAAAATAATAAATTCCGCCGTTTCTAGGATAAGTGGCTTACCCACACTTTTTTCCGAATAAATGGCTATACAGTTGCCGACGCACGAAGGTTCTCTACCATGAATGACTATTTTCGGGAATAAATGGCTTCTTTCCTAGCATAAATGGGTTAGCCATTTATTACTCTCCAGCATAAATGGCTCTTTTTCTTCATAATTTGCCTATCCGGGAGGGTTCTCTAGCATAAATGGCTTAGGCTTTTATTAACCTCTAGCAACAAATGGCTCTTCTACCTTCATAAATTGCTTATACAACAGTAAGAAAAATGTCTCCTAGGATGGAATTTCTAGCATTAATGCTATTTTGACAGATAGCCAAATGGCATTAGACGGTAAATTAAGTTTGGAACGTATTGCTTAAGAAGTAGTTAATGCGACTCCATTGTCGCCGGCAACTCAAGAACTATTCGAGAAGCTACTAGTTGATATTGAATCAAATATTCTTATTGCTATGGATGACGAACCTTCTAGTAAGTTGAAGCAGATAATAAGTCGAAATCTATATCAAGCCTTTTAGGTCCAACTGCTGTTGGACCTAAAAGGCTTGATATAGATTTCGACTCATCTGTTTCTATCTAATATATCTTATAGCTAGAAAAGGAACTCCAATGCTTTTCTCGTCGCATATACAGCCATTTATAGAAAATAGCCATTTATGCTAGAGATTCCCTCCTAGGAGACATTTTTTCTTTGCACGATAGGGAGCTATTTATTCGGAAAAAAGTGTGGGTAAGCCGTTTATTCTGGAAACGGCGCAATTTATTTATCTAGTAATTAATTGTAATAAGCTGTAAGAGAAGTATTTTTCAATTAAAATTCTACTACAATGGGAATTTCAGCTGAAACTTATACATATAATTCTGATTAAATGGAACTGGGTCAGTTGTTGATTTATTTTCAACAAACAAGTATTCGACGTCTAATTGTTGTGGTTGCTGAGAAGTAGAAGATATTGCTCTTGCATGCGCCGACTCAACAAAAATCTACCAATTGTCCCTAATTTCTTCGACCGTGACATATTCTTTTCTCAAGTTTTTGCTTATCTAAAATACAGAAAAAACAGATGAATCGGTGAAGATTTGATAAACTGACTTCACAGAAATCAACCTAGATATATGTGATATGAACAAAGCGATAGGTGCTTTGACTCTTTTCTTCACATCTTCACTTCATATTTATCGTCGCTTTTTTTCTCTTCTTCTCTCCACCTCAGGGATGAGCCACTGTGATGTGAAGAGTTGCGCGACCAATTCAAAAACAGGTAAATTCAACCACTCTCCTATCTCTTCTGTGTTCTAAACAGCAGAATGACTCACTAGTTAGAAAGGTTTTCCTAATTTTCTCTTAGATATAGAAAAAGTTCCATTAGAGAACAAAGCGTATATTGTACGCTCTGCTTTTCTCAACAAAGCGTAAAACAGAGCGTATTTTTAAATTCCAAAGCGTATGTATGCTTTAATACAGTGGGCACTCTTTGCTATTGGAAACACTGCCAGAGAGTCAGTTCAAATGCCATTCGAGAAAGCCGATATTTTCGAACATAATTATATATAAAAGTAGTTAATACATGTACTGATTGATAATACGCAGTGTTCGTTTTTCGAAAAAGTTTCAAACACCTATATCAGCTGAAATAATCCATGTCTGCCTAGTGGCATCGAAAACTAAGAGATCTTAATTCAGTCGAAATCGATCGAAACTACTTCAGAATATGAGCATATACTCCATTTTGTCTGCTTTAACTTTTTCTGTACTTGAAATTCGAAAAAAACATTCTCTTATTTACAACTAGAAACTCTTTCAAAAATCAAGTACTTTGTATTGGTTTATTCAACTTCATGGTATAGTGGATATAAAATGCAGCATATGCTGATATTCTGATGTAGTTTGGATTCACTTCGACTGAATTGAGATTTTTTACTTTTTGGTGCGACCAGGCAGAAATGGATCATTTCGCCTCATATAGGTGTTTGAAGCTTTTTTGGTAAACATACAGTTCAACGAGACTCAGCGTATAGTAAAACACTTGAGTCATTGATTTTTGTACGAGCGCGAAAAACTAGTGATCGCCAAAAGTCCGCGCCCCTGGAAACACTTTAGTAAAAAACGATCTGATTAGCCCATGACATTTGGCTACTTGACAATTCAGGTTTTTCCACTAAAACCTCTCCACTCTGCTCTAGGTGTTCCATCTAAGAAGCATGTTTTAATCATTGGAGCTAATGCGGGTATGAGTTATGCTGCAGCACCGTTATTTCTTAGTAAGAAGGCCGATATTTGTCAATATGAAGTAACCATTGTGGGTCGATCCTTCGAACGATTGAATTAAAGTTAGGAGAAAACGATAACGCTGACATGCGTTTTAAAACTTTTTCTAAAAACAAATATTGCCATGAGGCTCAGCACGGTCGATTATCAATGGTCCATCCGTCTTTAAGGCTACCAGTAGCCATCGGGTACTAGTCCTGAGACTCGTCGGCGACGAGTCGTCGGAAATCCGATACAACGCCCGAACTGCAGAAAACCAAGATCTCACTACACTCCCAGTTTTAAGAGAACACCCAGCCCAAGCTAGTTTTCCACAGATCCTCCGAAAATCTGGCTCTCAGTTCACCTGAGTCTCAGGAGTGGCACCCGATGACTACTGGTAGCCGGAGATGCGCCACGACGCTGTATAATGTCCCGATTGCACGAAAACAATGCGATTGCGACGTGACAAGTTTTTCTTACAGTGATGGCGCTCGGTAAAAGATCGCTAGTATCGCAGTGCGATCGCCATGAAGTTCTACTTTTTGAAAATTTATAATTCGCGATCGTGACAATAGTGACTTTTTACCGAGCGCGATCACTACAAGGCAAAAGTGTCACGTCGCTATCCCGAGTTACAATTTTTCCAAAAATAAGAGTTGGCCGTGATTGAGCCGCGACAACAGCGACTTCTAAGCGATCGCAGCACGATTTGCGCGACTTTAAGGACTGGGGTTACAATGTGAATTTCACGCGCTCTTGCCATGCTTGAACTAGTGTTCCATTGACCAGTTGATGGATCATTTATTTCACCACTAGCAAGAGAACTGGACAATCCCCAACCACCAGAGACAAGAACTTTGCCTAAATTGAGCAGAGCAGGGTTACAGTGTGAAATTCACGCGCAGTTGCCATACTTGCGATAGTGTTCCAATGACCCTGAGGAAAAATGTTATAGCACCAATTAGTTGCACCGTAACAGTTGCTTGATGTAACCGCTAAAATCTGTATACAATAAGATCAAGATTAAATCGTCCTGATGATAGTATTCACATCCGCAAACAGTGGAAATGATAAAAAAAAGCTGTCAAGATTATCTATTAACCCCAAAGAGACGAGTAAGAAGGCTCGATACTTCCTCTTGCGCTGATATGAAGACATATCATAGAAGATTCATGGATAGTATAGTCACTTTAATCTATTTTAGCAAAGATACGACGCTGCACTGTAGAACAGAGATATGACATAAAAGAAAAGAAAGGTATGCGTAGATACAACAGATAGATATGGATGTGCACGGATACGACAAACGAAAGATGTCGACGATATGAGAGAAAGGAAAAGAAAGATGTGCCATAGTATGCACATTCATATCTATCTGTTGTATCTAAGCATATCTTTCTTTTCTTTTATGTCATATCTCTGTTCTACAGTGCAGCGTCGTATCTTTGCTAAAATAGATTAAAGTGACTATAGTGACAAACGGAGACGATGAAGCCTAGATCTAAATGACTTTAAGTTGTGTTTTCATTGAATTTTCTGTCGAAGAAAAGTCACTGCTTCAACCTGATTGGCGAGTGAGAAACATAACTCGAAGTCTCAAACCCATCTAAATAGGAAAAGAACCAAGCAGAGTTACATTTATAACTTGGCTTTCCAACTATTTCGGCGCATTCTTTAAAAAAAGCGTTGCAAGAACTAAACGCATTAGAAAATTAGGTGGGTACAGCTCCGTTTCCTTATCTCGCTTGATTTCGATCTATACTTTCTGCTGATTGTGTCATCAGCCACCCGCCGAGACCCGCTGGCAAAGGTCGAAACCGGTAGTGGTATGGCATCTTTTTCTTCTAAAATTCGGTTTCATTCGGCTGTGTTTCACTTTCTCAATCACAACTTACTGAAATTTTTAGGTTCTAAATATTTTGCTAGATATACATGATTCTATTGACATTCTGCGGAAATTCCCGAAATTCCTGTAAAATTAAGAAAAGCCTAATATTCCAAATTCAAACCACCATCAAATTCAGTCTCCAGTCACGTCTGAAAGCGATTCTCGTCAGATTGTTCTGAAATTGTCGCGAGATTCTGAAAGTGTGAATTGCTTGGATTCTGAAATTCGCAGATTCTAAAGACTTTGCAGATCAGCCTATACTCACACTCTAAAATTCGCAGATCCTCCTGAGATTCTTCTGCAATTCTGAAATTCTGAAAGTCATAACATTTTGCAATTGAGAGTGTAGTCACACTGTGAAAGTGTGAAATTGTTTTTTTCTTGTGAAATTCTGAGATTCTGAAGTTCTTTAGATTTTACAATTCGGTCAATAGTCACACGTCTGACCGTGAAATTCTTCTAAAATTCTGAGATACTATTGAGATTCTTTCGAAATTCTGAAACTCCGAAAGTCAAAACATCTTGGAATTGAGAGTGCAGTCACACCGTCAAATTCTGAAAGTGAATGCTTCTGAAATTCTCAGAATCTATTGAGATTCTGCGGAAAGTGAGATTCTTCTGAAATTCTTGCGAGATTCTGAAAGTCTGAATTGCTAGGATTCTGAAATTCTGCGATTCTAAAGACTTTGCAGTTCAGCCTATACTCACACTCCGAAATTCTGCTGAGTTCCGATTCTCCTGAGGGTTTTCTGAAATTCGTGAAATTTTTGTAAAAAGCAGAAATTCTGAAATTCAACACATTTGGGAATTCAGGGTGTACTCACAGTGTGAAAGTGCGAAATTTTGAGATTCTTCTCACATTGAAAGTGTGAGATTTTGAGATTCTAAAATCCTAAACATTTTACAATTCAGTCTGCAGTCACACTGTCACATTCTGGAGGCGTGAAATTCTTCTGAAACTCTGAAACTCCCATTCTGAAATCCTCAAATTCTAAACACTTAGCAATTCCTTCTATAGTCAAGTGAAAGCGTTAAATTCTGTAATTTTCAAGGTCTCAGATTCGAAGATTCTAAAATTCTAAACATTTAGCATTCAGTCTATAGTCACACTGTGAACATTCAAAGTGTGTGATTCTACTGAAATTCCGGAATTCTAAAAGTCTCATTTTAAACCTGACGACGAAATAATAATCCACAATATCGTTATTATACCCCGCTGACCAAATAGAATTTACTGCTTACTTATATGTGGAAAATCAGGGCCACTTGGGAGCACCCTTCATCCTAATTCTTGCTCATTTCAGAAAAATGAGGAAATTTAATTTAACATCTTTTTGTCCGTAGACTCAACTTTGGAAAACACTTCCTTAAAGAACACCGAGTTTCTCGGAAACAGACAGGAAATTCTTGTCAAGAAACATCGGATTCCACTGGCAACACGATGAAGTTGTAGGAAAGTTCCATCGATTTTTTTTCGAAAAAAGATGAAATTCTTGTGAAGAAACATGTGTCGAGTCTACGGACCAAAAGATGTTAAATTGAATTCTGAAATTCTCAGATTCTCAACATTTTCATTATCTTACTTCATTACCTTACTTCATTACCGCCTCATTACCTGACTGCAGACTGAATTGTAAAATGTTGAGAATCTCGGAATTTCAGTATTTCTTAATTTTACAGGAATTTCGGGACTTTCCGCAGAATCTCAATAGATTCTGAGAATTTCAGAAGCATTCACTTTCAGAATTTGACGGTGTGACTGCACTCTCAATTCCAAGATGTTTTGACTTTCAGAGTTTCAGAATTTCGAAAGAATCTCAATAGTATCTCAGAATTTTAGAAGAATTTCACGGTCAGACGTGTGACTATTGACCGAATTGTAAAATCTAAAGAACTTCAGAATCTCAGAATTTCACAAGA